TCCCTGCGGTTAAGAAATTAATTAAAAAAAACCTAAGGGCTTGTTTGGATTTGGAAGGGGTGAAGGGAAGTTAGGGGAACCTAGGGGAAGTTAAGTTAAGGGAAGGGAATGGAATTTCTAAAACTTGTTTGGGAAACTAGTAAGGTGAATCAAGGGAAAATTATTTCACCCCGTTTGGAAAGTGTAATAACGGGAAGGGAAGGGAAGGGAAGGGAATGTATATAAATTAACATAAATACCCTCACATATTATTAAGTTATATTGTTGTTAGAAATTAAATATCAAATATGCATTTATTGCTATATATTATTATTGTCATCATCTCCTTCCACATTGTATATCCACAATTAACACAAATCAGATAAATATGAAAAAATTTGGAGTATAGTTGGAATGAAAAATAATAACCAATATATTCATCAATGAGACTACAAAACAATACAAAGCTTATTTTCACTCTTCTTTTGCAAATATACCCAGTTAGCAGAGCAACGACCAACTAAATGATGAAACTCAAATACCTACACGAACACAAAACTACTATAACACTTGTCATTTAAATGATGAAACTCAAATACCTACACGAACACAAAACTACTATAACACTTGTCATTCAAGCTGCAAAAGTCCCCAATTTTGAACGGTCTTTTACAAATTTTATTGCTCCATCAAATAAGCCCAGTTTGGATGATACAAGGTAAATTCATCAACAAAAAATAAAAAACAAATTGCGTTTATTAATACTATCCAGCATCAACCTCATTAACCAACATCCCTGTGAAAAATGTTCCAATGAAGCATTACGGAGAAATAAAATAAAACCTTTTTTCCACAAAGTAGCTATTTATGCTCATATTCTCTCCACAGTTGACATAAGACCCCTTCAAAGAAGGGAGGAAGAACAAAAGCTTCAACCGCTTTCACTCATTTCTTCAATTTCGTTGAGTTATCCAAGGCCAAGTCCTGCAGGTTAAGTAACAGGAGAGAAAATCTTACCTTGAAAAATCAAACCCCTTGCTCAAACTGGGCGAGAGATTGAGGCGAGACAAGACGCGTTTGTGAGATGAGACGCGGAGGAAGAAGAAATGGCGGAGGCGCTTGCAACGAGAGTTTATACTGTGGGGTTTCTGTGAGCAAATTTTAGCCGTTAGATTTTGATCTTAGCTAGAGGTAAATATGTCTCTCTACATTTGTTGTATTCCCCCTTTTTACCTTCACCCCTATTACACCCCAAATTGGGGGGGAAGAAATCATGGTATTTTCTCACCTCCTTTCACCTCCTCTTACCCCTATTAACTTGCTATATTTACTTCCCAAACAAGGTTAAAAGTTACCCTCCATTCCCCTCACGAACAATTTTTCAAAACAGCCCCAAACAGATTTTTATTTTTTAAAATCGACCCTTTTTTATTTATCAAAACCGAACCGTTTTTTGATTAGCAGCCTAATCACCCTCCTAAACACTCGAAGTTGCCAACCCGGACTATTTAGGAGGGTGTTAAACCCCAATTAGAAATCTTAAACCCTAAAAATTTATGTCTTAAATAGTTGGGGTTAGCAATCCCGACTATTTAGGAAGGTGATTAGGCTGCTAATCAAAAAGAGGGGTTGGTTTTGGTAAATAAATAAAAAAAATGTCAATTTTGAAAAATAAAAATTTAAATGGGGCTGTTTTGAAAAATTGTTCTTCCCCTCACCCACATTACCCTCAATCCAAACAGGGTCTAAATCACGACGCCTCCTCCGCCAGCGCAATCTCTCTTCTTCGCTGCCTTCTCCCCGTCGATTCTTCTTCTTCTTCGCTGTCTCCACCCTCCAAGCCAGCCTCCGGTCTCTTCTTCTTCTTCTTCACCACTTCGAAGGTCCACCACTGTCAAAGCCCTATCACCATCAAAGCTCCATCTTTGTCGAAGCTCCATCGCCTTTGATCTCTGTCGAAGGTTAGAAAGCTGAAATCTTTTGTGATTTCTTAATACATAACTGTCAGGTTCTGAAGATCAATCTACAAACCTGACATGCACATTGAAGACTGGAACTGGTTGTGAAGCTGAAGCTGGATGTACTTTGAAGATTGGAACTTGTTGCGGAGATGAGATGGTACAATGATCTGATATGCAAGGCTAATATACAAGTGGGGGGTCTATTGTGCAAATGTGCAAACTATGAAGGGCTGTAATAAATGTATAAATACGGTTATAACAGAATTGTGCTTTCTGTTATTCTGTTTACACTGTATGTGCACGTGCACAGAGTGACACACTTGTTCAGGGAGGAAGTGAACTGTATAAAAAGAGAGTTGTAAGAAATCAAAACATAATGAGAATCATTCTGAATTCTTCTTCTCAAGCTCTTGTTCAACTTTCCTCTTTTCTCATTTTTCTTCCAGATTCTATTTTTGCACCTTTCCTTTTGATTTTCAGGGTGGTTAATGGCTAGGAGTTCAACCAGGAGGATCAATAGAGAAGCACGATCCTCACAATTGGTATCAGAGCAACTGGAACTAGAGGAGGGTGCTGAAGATTCCATGGCTGAACATGAAGCAGCTTTGGAAACTGAGCAGAATCGACAAGGAGATCGTAGAGAGGAGATACTCATTCAACAGGGACTCTTTAATCAAATGTCTCGCATGGAGGAAACTCTCACTCAACATAGTGCTCGTATGGATCAATCTTTCATCCAACAGGGAATCATCAACCAAGAATTCATCGAGCAATTAAAGGTGATAAACTCTCAATTGCAAGAACTCAAGAATTCCAAGGAAAGAGGCAGGGAATCATCAAGAAATGGAGTGCCAGGTGATCAAAGAACCCTCAATTCAGGATCAAGAAATGATCGTGAACCTCTGAGGTCAGGGTACAGGGATCAAAATCAAGAGGGCAACCAGCAAGTTTACAGGAGATTTGAACCCCATGGTGATTTTCCAACAAATCAAAATCCTGGTAATTCTCTGATTCAGAAGAACTCCTTCTTTAATAATCAGAAATTAGTTCAGCCAAAATCTTTGAGATTAGACTTCCCATCTTTTTCTGGATCTGAAAATGTGATTTCTTGGTTGGAGCAAATTGAACAAATCTTTGATTACTATGAGATCAAGGATGATGAATGGGTGAAAGTCTGTTCTTTTTATCTGAGAGATGAGGCATTGCAGTGGTTCAGATGGATTACAAAAAATCTTGATAATTACAATCATTGGGAGGTTTTTAAAGAAGAAATTATCACAAGATTTGGACCCAGTGAACTCCTTAGACCCTATGATACTTTTTCCACCTTGAAGCAAACTTCTACAGTAAGGGAGTATTTGTCAAAATTTGAACAGACTTTAGGTATGCTCGATGACCAGCCCTCAAAAAGACACATATTAGAAAAATTCATTGGGGGGTTGAAAGAAGAGCTAAGGTATGAGGTGGCTGCTGCTAGGCCCTCTTCCTTAAATGGAGCTGTGTCATTAGCCAATCTGTTTGAGGAGAAACAAAAAAATGAAAAAAGAAGTAAAGGGAATTGGAATGTAATCAATCCAGGAAATATTTCAAATCGTACCACTCATGACTTACCTGCACAAGAAAGAAACAAATCTTCTTCTCAGTTCAGGAAGCTAACACCTGAGGAGATACAAAAGAGGAGGAATCAAAATCTTTGCTTTACTTGTGAAGAAAAATGGCATAGAGGGCATCAATGCAAAGGGAAACACATGTTCATATTGGAAGGAATCTTAGAAGGAGGTACTGAAGAAGATGTAGATGATTCTGAAAAAGATGAACAAGAAGACATGACTGTGGAGTTGGCTGAAAGTCTAGTAAGGGGAGCCCCCTCCATCTCAGTGCAAGCTCTCAGTGGAATTTCAGCTTCTCACACAATTAGAGTTGTGGGATACTATAAGAATCAAGCTATCAGTATTCTGATAGATTCTGGCTCCACACACAATTTTATCAATGCTAAGTTAGTAAAGAAACTTGGATTACCAGTGACTGAGTATAAAGATTTCAATGTTCTTGTAGCTAGTGGAGAATTTATTAAAGGAGCTGGATTATGCCAGGGGGTTTCATTGGATTGTCAGGGAGTGAATATCCAAGTTAATTTGTTGGTAATGCCTATGGGGGGAAGTCAGGTTGTTTTAGGAGCTGATTGGATGAAAACTTTGGAAGACATTACCCTAAACTTCAAGAAATTGCAAGTAACTTTCCTAAGTGATGGAATCAAAAGAACATTACAGGGGATATTACCAGGAGAATCACAGCTTGTGAATGAGAAAAACATTGCTAAATCTGTGAGAGAGCAGGAAGAAGGATACTTAATCCAATTGTGCAGTGTCAATTTGCAGGAAGTTACTACAGCTATTGATCATGAAAGGTTACCTGAAGATATGCACAGGTTGATACAAGAATTTGCTGTTATTTTCCAAGAACTGCCACACCTTCCTCCTACAAGAGCCATTGATCACCAGATTCCTTTAGAAACTGGCACTAAACCAGTCTGTATCAGGCCTTACAGACATGCACACTTTCTTAAAGAGGAAATTGAGAAACAAATTGAAGACATGCTGAACAAAGGAATTATTAGGCCTAGCCATAGTCCTTTTTCCTCTCCTGTAGTTATGGTTAAAAAATCAGATGGGAGTTGGAGAATGTGTATAGACTATAGGTCATTGAACAAAGCAACTATCAAAGATAAGTTTCCTATCCCAGTTATAGATGAATTGCTAGATGAACTTCATGGGACACAGTTTTTTACCAAACTGGACTTAAAATCTGGGTACCATCAGATTAGAATGCATGAGGCTGACATACACAAGACTGCTTTCAGAACTCATAGTGGTCATTTTGAGTTTTTAGTAATGCCATTTGGTCTTACAAATGCTCCCTCCACATTTCAAGCTCTTATGAATACAATTTTCAAAAGTTTACTTAGAAAATCTGTATTGGTCTTTTTTGATGACATTTTAGTATACAGCAAAGGGTGGCAGGACCATTTAAGGCATTTGAAACAAGTATTTCAGATTTTGAAGAACCATGAATTAGTTGCTAAGATGACCAAATGCAGTTTTGGTCAGAAACAAGTTGAGTATCTGGGTCACATTGTATCACAGGAAGGGGTCAGTGTAGATCCAAACAAGGTTCAAGCTATTACTGAGTGGCCTGTACCTAAATCATTGAAAGGGTTGAGAGGATTCCTGGGTATTGCAGGATACTACAGGAAGTTTATCAAGAACTTTGGAATTATAGCTCAGCCTCTCACACATCTTCTGAAGAAGGGAAATTTTGCTTGGAGTACAGATGCTGAAATTGCCTTTAAAGCTTTGAAAGTGGCACTGACCAACTCCCCAGTTCTAGCAATGCCTGATTTCAACATAAAGTTTGTGATTGAATGTGATGCATCTGGGACTGGAATTGGAGCTGTATTGATGCAACAAGAGAGACCCATAGCTTATTTCAGTTTTGCCTTGAAGGGAAAAAATGCTACACTGTCAACCTATGAGAAAGAGTTATTAGCTATCATTCTTTCTACAAAAAAATGGCAACAATATTTGCTTGGAAGAAGCTTTATAATAAGAACTGATCATCAAAGTCTTAAGTATCTATTAGAGCAAAGAATCCACACAGGAGTTCAAAACAAGTGGCTGGCAAAACTTCATGGTTATGACTACACTGTTGAATACAAACCAGGAAGGATGAACAAGGCTGCAGATGGGTTGTCCAGGATATATGAAGATGCAGTGGAAATCTCAGCCATCTCTACTGTCAGTTGTGATTGGTTGAATGAGATAAAAATAATGTGCTCTGAAGATGTTTTCTTTAAGGAAATTGATGATAAGTTGCAACAAGGACACCTCAGTTCTGAGGAGTATTCTAGAAGAGAAGGAGTTTACTACTACAAGGGTAGGATTTTACTTAGTCCTAATGCTCAAGACTTGAAGACTTCCTTATTAAATGAACACCATAATAGTCCTTCTGCTGGACATTCTGGAATTACCAGAACTTTACACAGATTGAGGAGGTCTTTCTATTGGAAGGGTATGAAGAAGGATGTCCAATTATATGTCCAAGCCTGTGATATATGTCAAAGGGCTAAAGGGGAGAATGTTGCATCTCCAGGGCTCTTACAGCCACTGCCTGTTCCAGAGTATGTATGGGAAGACTTATCCATGGATTTTATCACAAAATTGCCTAAAAGTGGTACTCAGTCTGTGATATTTGTGGTGGTTGACAGATTCTCAAAGTATGCTCATTTCTTTGCTTTGGCTCATCCTTACACTGCTCAGTCTGTTGCTCAGGTCTTCTTTGAAGGGGTGTTCAAACTCCATGGAATGCCCAAATCCATAATTAGTGACAGGGACCCTTTGTTTACTAGTCTGTTCTGGAAAGAACTATTCAGGCTACAGGGAAGTCAACTCAAATTTAGCTCAGCTTATCATCCACAAACGGATGGACAGACTGAGATTACCAATAAGAATTTGGAATGTTACTTGAGATGTTTTTGTTGCCATAAGCCTAAAGAATGGGGTAAGTGGTTACCATTGGCTGAATTTTGGTATAACACCACTTGGAAAGTTTCCACCAATACTACTCCTTTTGAAGCTGTATATGGCAGGCCACCACCATCTTTACTTTCCTATGTTCCCAAGAGTTGTAAGGTTGAATCTGTAGATGAAGCCCTTTTCTCTAGAGATATATCATTGCAGTTGTTGAAGGATAGTCTGGTGAAAGCTGCAGAGCATATGAAAAGGTTTGCTGATAGACATAGGAGTTACAGGAGTTTTGAGATTGGGGATTGGGTTTTTCTTAAACTTCAACCCTACAGACAATTAAGTGTTTCCTCCTACAAAACTCATAAACTTTCTCCTAAGTATTATGGGCCTTACCAGATTCTAGAAAAAGTTGGTGAAGTTGCTTACAAGTTGGCTCTACCCACTCATGCACAGATTCACCCAGTTTTCCATGTCTCCCAACTTAAGAAGAAGATAGGGACTGCAGTTACCCTTCAAGTTAATCCACCAAGTTATACTACAGAGTTGGTTGATGAACCAGAGCAGATAATGGATAGGAGATCAGTAGTTCAAGGAAATAAACTGATATCTCAGGTTTTAATCAAATGGAAACAGCGATCATCTTTGGATTCTACTTGGGAGTCCTACTGGGATCTTGTCAAGAGGTTTCCCACATTTGACCTTGAGGCAAGGTCCAATTTAAGGAGGAGGGAATTGTCAGGTTCTGAAGATCAATCTACAAACCTGACATGCACATTGAAGACTGGAACTGGTTGTGAAGCTGAAGCTGGATGTACTTTGAAGATTGGAACTTGTTGCGGAGATGAGATGGTACAATGATCTGATATGCAAGGCTAATATACAAGTGGGGGGTCTATTGTGCAAATGTGCAAACTATGAAGGGCTGTAATAAATGTATAAATACGGTTATAACAGAATTGTGCTTTCTGTTATTCTGTTTACACTGTATGTGCACGTGCACAGAGTGACACACTTGTTCAGGGAGGAAGTGAACTGTATAAAAAGAGAGTTGTAAGAAATCAAAACATAATGAGAATCATTCTGAATTCTTCTTCTCAAGCTCTTGTTCAACTTTCCTCTTTTCTCATTTTTCTTCCAGATTCTATTTTTGCACCTTTCCTTTTGATTTTCAGGGTGGTTAATGGCTAGGAGTTCAACCAGGAGGATCAATAGAGAAGCACGATCCTCACAATAACTGCATATTAGAAGCTTAAAAGATGAAATACATTAGAAATCTACAATCTTTATGTTTAATAGGTTGTTATTTCTGTTAAAAGTGATAGCTGACTGATAACTAATCACTAATAATTCATTGTGATTGCTTCTTTGATCGTTGTTGTTAGCGAAGTACTGAATTATACATTATTCAGTATTTAGGGTTTATATGTTGGTTTTTTTAACAGTGATGCACAACTTTTATTCGAGTAGCTAGTTGAATAATGGATATGATGTATGGATTGAATGTTTTAAGTAGTCGCCTAGTTATGGATTGTTCAATAACATGTTTGTTGGTATTTTTCTTCGTATATGTTCTATCTTTTATGGATTTTATTTATTTTAATGCATGATAAATAATAAATATATAGTTAAAAATTAAATAGTGCATAATTCCGCATAATCCGATGAATCGTGACTCGTTTCTGAACCGCACGCATAATAAAATTGTATTTTTGAACATTGAGCCCAACTGTAGTTTGGTTTTTGTAACAGATTAGCTAACAGAGGGACTTATATCAATAATTTAGTACAATTTGAGGGACTGGTATCAAAATATAAAGATTAGAGGGACTAATATCAAAATAGGTCAGATTTAAGGGACTGACATGGAAAAACCCCTGTTTTTTCCTCCTCTCTCCTCCTCCGCTCCCACTGCCCAAAAAACCTAGCGCCCAAACACTGCTGCCACCCACCGCATTCTCGATGACGACTCCTCCAGTCCTCTTCTGGCCATGAGCCCTCCACTGCTTCGGCCCTCAACGTTGCGTCGAGTTGAAGGTAACAGCTCACGTATTTGTTCATTTATTTACTTGCTTGGTTGCTAATTTAGTTATTGAACAATGATTTTATATGTTATTTAGTTGGAAATTGGAATCCTTGTTTATTTATTTAGTTATTGATTTAATTATCAATTATGCTCTGAATTTAAAATTATTGAATTGATGTGTCTCAAATAACCTAATTACAAATGATCAAATATGCTTTTTGTGGAACTTTTAGATTTTTCTTTAATTTTATGCATTTTGTGGAACTTTTAGATTTAGCGGTGCCTCACCACTACACAGTGTTATCTACTACTGATAACTTTGATCTCTCTTCAGCATCTCATCTCATGGATCCGATGCTCTGGCATAAGGTTGCTGCCCTCTCTGGTTCGTTTCTCTCTCTCTCCCCCTCTTTAAATTTCAATTTTTTATAAAAATAATAATTTTTTACTTCTAATTCATCAATAAAAAATTTAATCAAAATTTTTGTTTAAAAAATTAACAGGCGTTGCTGCCCTTGGTCTGGGCACCTACGGAGCCCACGGTTTCAAGCCTAAAAATCCAACTTACAAAGATGTAATTAGCCCCCCTTTCTTTCCTTTTTTCTTTCTTTAGCTATTCCATCACCAAATACATACACACATACTTTCAGTTTGGTGATTTCTTTGTTTGTAAGATTATTACTCTAATCATTTTTCCAACTAATCTAACATGTGTAGGTATGGCAGACGGCATCTTTGTACCACTTGGTTCACACAGCAGCATTGGTTGGAGCACCCATCACTAAACACCCTACCATTGTACTGTTCTTCGTATTTCTTTTTTCTCCTGTCTACCCCTTTTTAATATCACTCACTTTACTATATTTAATTTTGGCAAAACTTCAGTAGAGGTTCTTGATGTATTGGCCAAATATCACTTATGTACTTAATGTTTTGAAGTCATTACTGGAGGTCTTTAACGTTATCTCCCTCATTAGCCTACGTAAGTCATTTTTACCAGATTTCATTAAATTGCTAACATGGCAATAACATGGCCCTGCCATGTTACTGCTACATCAGCAAAAAAATTAGCGAAATTCCAAATTCAATACATATAATTTTACTATTTTTTCTTGATGTGGCAGATCAAACTTGGACTTTCACTAATTTTTGCTGACATGACAGTGCCACATCATTGCCACATCAGAAAGATTTAATAGTATTTGTAAAAAAGACATAGGCTAGGCTAATGATGGAGGTAATGTTAGGATTCCCGCTCATGACTTTCAAAAATTAAGGACGCAAATGATATTTGACTGACACTTCAAGGACCTCCACTGAACTTTTGCCTTTAATTTAACTATTTCCCATATCTTTATGCATGTCCTTTATCTTCATTCTCTATTTATTTATTTTTTCTTCTTTTCTACTGTCCTTGCAGTTTGGTGGACTCTTGACTACTGGAATTCTGGCATTTTCTGGAACGTAAGTGCATTATTCGCACTCCTTTGCAATTTGATTTACTTATTCATGCAATATTCGAAGTCAATGGCATGTATCATGTCTCCATCGAGTATGTGATATGCCTTCTTTTGATTTTTATCTTTACATGTTTTATGTAGAATTTCTTTCTAGTTCTGGTGAGCCATTAATTAATTTATGTTGATAAATGTCAGTTCATATCTTCATAGATGCAATAAAAAGGTCAACTTATATATCTTGTGGTATCAAATTTTCTTATATCTTGTCATTGTAATAACAGAAGAGAATTATAACGGTTGCATATCCCTTGAGAGTGGATGCCCTGACCTGTGCTATGCTTGATCTTAGAAAATAATACCTTACAAGCTTTATTGCCTTCTTATGTTGTGGACCATCTTTTTCTTCCTTAAACGTGGCAAAATTAATGTAAGATGAATCGAAGTTTCACCCTTAATATGAAGCTTATCTAACAACAAAATGCATGGTAGAAATGATATGTATTGTTTAGAAAATAGGATTAGTGAGGTTATGGATGTTTTAACAGAAGTTAAATGGGAAGAGTCATAAGATTTGATGATATCTCTATTGAACTCTGGAAAGGTCTTGGAGATACGGGCTTAAGATGGTAAACCAAACTCTTCAAAAAGATTATTGATATTAAGTTATTGCCTTACGGGAGGAGAATTAACACTTCAGCAACTATATACAAGAAACAAGAATAAAGTGATATACAAAGTTGTTCTAAGTTTATGAGCAACAATATGAGACTTTGAGAGAGGGTAATTGATCAAATGACTAAAATGGAGCCAAATGTATCTGACAACCAATTTAGTTTTATGCTCAGAGGCCAACTTTGAACCTATTTATATATTAAGACGATTGATGAAGAGATATGTGGAGAAGGTAAACAATCTACATTTTTTTTATTGATCTAGAATAGCCTATGATAAGTGCCAAGGGAATATAGGATAATGTGGTGGATTTTATAAAGTAAGTAGATATATTGATGTGATTAAAGACATGCATAATAGAGCAACTACTAGAGTAGTAACGATTGAAGAAGAGACAAAGCAATGGAAAGGTAGAGAAGCTCTTGAATTTGAAGGGTTTAGAACTAGTGTAAAAAGATCAGACTACATGGAATGCAATTTTAGTAAACTATGGAAGAATGAGTGTATAATTTGTAATGGTGGTCAAGAAATATCTGAGTAATTATTCTCAGCATTTAGGATAAATTATTCGCCAAAATAGTGAGATTGAGTGTTACATAGTTTATCAAATCAAATCATGATGGTTAAAGTGGAGAAGTGCTTGTAAGTCTTATGTGGTCACAGAAGACCTTTAAGATTAAAGAGAAAATTATGTAGGACAACTAAAAGTCCCAAATGCTTTTGAGTCTGTTGTTAGTTTACAACTTGTATGTTGAAATGTTGCTGCTAGATTTTAGAATTTATTGGGTAGTCCTTAGAATAGTTGTCGAGAGGTAACTTATTGTCAATTTCAGATTCTTAGCATTTATAACTTTGATCCTATTACCGAAAGTTTTCTTTCTTTCTGATTTGTTTTGCTAAATGTCATCATATCCTCTTCATTGTCTTCTTGAAGGACAACATTGATTAATCAATTATGGAATTTGTTTAGAACCCCTTTTTTCCTCTCTTTTTAATCTTTTCTTAATTTTTAGCCACGATTAGTTTCATATCTCAACAACTTGTCCATTCTTATATTGTTCCATGACAGAGTACTCATAAGAGAAGTTCATAGGAATTATTGGGTTATTGGCTTCACAGGGTGTCATATAACTTAAAACTAACGGATGAGGTGGCTTTTTCTGTGTCTCAATGACGCCTCTTGAATGAAAACCTTTTTCTTGTTAATTGATTTTCTTGTTTAGATAAAGTCACTCTCGAATTAGTTCGTAAATGAAATCATCTGCATCTTTTGCAGGTGTTACACAGTGGCATATCTTGAAGACAGAAAATACTCTTCTCTAGCACCCTTTGGTGGCTTTGCATTTATTGCTGCTTGGGGAAGCTTACTCTTCTGAGGAGCAGATACAGTAAGATCCTTATATGTGTCATGTGTCGTACAATGGGGTTCATTATTCTTAGCAAAGTGCAATGCTACTGATCATGATGTTTGAAATTCTAGATTGGTCAACAATATTTGTTTTAAGCCTCATGTAATTTGACATTGTGGAAATGCTTGTGAAGCTATTCTAATTGGAATTGATTTGCGTTATATTTTCTTCCAAAAGAAATTTTGTTGGTCCCACATCCTCATTTAGTAAGCTAGCTGTCAAAACAAAGGATAATGATGCACATGAGTGTTTTAGCACATTCATTCTGGTTTTTTATTCGTATGAAAGAACGTCCATTATCTAGCAAATCCAGAATCTGTGTTCAATACACTTCTATGCAATGCTTAAGTGGTGATCTCGTGACCATAGTAATTCTTACTTGGTGATCTTGTGAGTTGTGACCATAGTAGTTTTGACTAGTATCAAATTGTTGAGCATGATCAGTTTTCAGATACCAATACACTTTATACATTATCTTAAAACCTAAAATATTATATATCTTTCTGACTCATGTTCTGTACATCTTTGTCAGTATTAAGGGTACTTGCGGTGAGAACTGATTGACATAGTATAAATTGTAATAGAGTTGATTCTGTAGTTCCATCATGCAAGAACTGAATGTGTTAAATAACACCTGATTTTGAGGAAGCAAAAAAATTAATACATCCATTCAATTTTCAGATACTAGGTACAAATAGTCAGGAGACAGTGTATTAGGTTTCAAAATTCAAGATATGAAGGATCAAGGAGTGCAGAAAATTTGCAATTGTCAATTATGAGAACTTCCTGTAAAGGGCTCAAACCATCTAATTTCAGGATAAGAATACACAGGACGTACATCCAAACTCTAACGTAGGAAAGAAAAATCTGCAGATCCTCCTGTTTATGCTCTTCCTTGGACAAAGATTTAAACTGGAAGATAAATTGAACTTCTTATGGCTGAACAAATACGTCTGGACAAATTAACAAAGATATTTCACAGCATGTTGCTGTTATCTGCATCAGGAAAGTGTCTCAAACCGGCATGGGCCATGGCCTGCATGCAAATGTGCATAGGGTTAGGACTTAAGAGTTGTGTGAACAAGTTAATATAAAGCGTATGTTATGAATTAAATTTTCATAGTAAAAGAAAAAAAGAAAATTGATCTAATGATCCATTGCCATTGCTTTTCTCAAGGTTTTCACCTGACATGATTTAACACAATGGACATTGTAGTGAATATCTTCATAGCCACACATAAGGAGAGAAACAGGAAGAAAAACCATACTTGGGTCTAGATCAGTGACCATTGCTGCAGAATTGAAGTAGCAAGAAGCTCCTTTGTTTTTGAATTTCTGCCAATAGCTATTGAAGGCATAGGATGCATGGTCCCTTACAGTATTAGGAAGGTAGCAGGGTTTGTTGGGTTGGATCAAGTTGCAGTCAGCGCCCCCGAAACCACAAGCCCAATCAAGTGCTTGCTGTAAAACATCATTTGGTGTCTGTTCATCAGCTATGCACCATTCCTTCTCTGGATATGCCCCCTCTGTCACCAGGAGGTTTTGTAGAAAATATCAACAAGTTAAACATAGGAATGATAAATTTTCCTGTTTCTTCCTCTATTTTTGTTTTTCCTCAGTTTTCTTAATATATTTCCTGCATTCTCTTTACCACAATAATCTTTCGACAGAAATATTAATTTGATTTTATGTTTGAATTTATAAATAATAAATTCTGCTCCAAGCAACCCTATTCGGTGAAAGGTATAAAAAGAGTGGCAAGGTAGCAGAAGCACTTCAATAGTGAAACTCTATGATGCCAGGCATGCGTTGAACACGCACATCGAAGTTCAAACACATAACAAGATACTTCTGTTTGTGTGTCGACGTATATCCTATCATCCAGGCAACATAAGGGAAGGAAGCGGGCCTCTCATGGCATTATCTTTCGCTGTTCCTTTATTTTTGCATATGAGATTTTGGTAGTTGATCGTACGTTAACATTAGATATCAAATGGATGTGTTGGTTCCCTTCTGTTTGATGTTTTTCATTAATTGTTTGTGATAAGAAAGAGAAAAACTAAAAATTCAAGTTGATCGTACGTAAACAGCTGTTGAAGCATGGCACCCACAGTTTCTTATGTCGAGTTCACAGCTAGGAATTTCCTAGTTCTTTAACCTGAATTAAGGAAACAAGATAACCCTTAATAAACCAGGTTTTTGAATACTAAAGAGCCTACTTTACCACTAACTATGATTATGATGTCAGTGAAATGAATTGTGACCGAACAAAAATGCGCGCGTGTGTGTGTATCTAAATAACAACAACTAGTACATTAATGTTAAATAATGTAAATAATTAATTTGGACAAAAGAAGAACTAATAATATTTATGCAATGTACCTGGTTCTGCTGTTACTAGAATTAGCAGGGGCAGTAAGATGGTTAGTATAACAGACCTCATCTTCTTCCTCGTGTAATCTTCAAGCTGTTTGGGGGAATTGGTAGGGAACGGAAGGGGATGGGAAGTGTTATATAAGGAAAAGCCTGATTTCCTAGTTGATGATTGTTTTGTAAAGAGAGAGTAGATCCTTTGCTTGAAGTTATTGAGCGTGACAGATGGGAAGTGTTATATAAGGAAAAGCCTGATTTCCTAGTTGATGATTGTTTTGTAAAGAGAGATTAGATCCTTTGCTTGAAGTTATTGAGCGTGACAGATTCTCGTCATGCTTTTTCTTTTAGGCTGGGAGGCGGATAGGGCAATGTGCAGTGCATGATCAAGTGGCTGATATTTTGATCAGAAAGCAAGCATCTTGAAGGGCCTTAACCTTCTAATCCATCGTCGATTCTGAGAGCGAGCGTGGTGCCATGTGATATTGGCATTCTAAAGTCTGTTGCAGATTTGGAGGTTGGGATTATTTTAAGTGGGGAATAAAGACAAACGTTGAATTGAAGAAACGCCAAAAGAGGCCTATTAATTCTTCTCGTTCGAGATGCTCAATCACCGTGCATGCTGTTACTATCT